ATGTAGAAGGAAGTGTTCGTTACTTGTGTTAAGCCAATATCGTGCTATTTGCGTGGATGATGTGATCAGAAACACGAGAAACCTCAGTCATGATAGATATAAAACCTAAGAGATTTAACCCTGAACTTCCCGAATACGAGGCCGGAGTGCTTAACACTTCGCCGCCTCATTCGGTCATTACGTTTATTGAGAGACGACCTCTAAATTTACGTGAATGTCGATATATATGACATGCATACAGAATATAATTCTGATGCCTTATCACTTCAAATTGATTTCTATTAATAGTTCTAGGCTTCAGTTTTTGTGAAGGCGTTAACAAAGTTTGATTTGTACTTGAAAGGTCTTTTGTTCGTATCTCAGCCATTGACGAATGTCTTGACTTCGTCAGTCCTTGGTAAACTCCGTAACTGTAACTTAATAATGAATTTCGTATACCTAGTATTGTGACAAGCATTTCTGATTTAAAAAAGTCAAAAATAATGAAACATTGACATATGGACGGATTTTGAAGAAACGTGGTATGGACAGCAAGTATTTGAGACCCACACAACTATCGCACATGCCAACGTGATAATCATGTAAACTTCTGAGGTGAAATGAACACCAGCATAATTTAATGCAGAGCCCACAGTATTACGTGGTGTTGCTTAAACAGCCATGCAAATAATTTTCATAGCATGTGCAGTAATTAAAGTGGCTGATTGAACTCTATATTAGGCCTAGCCTAACAATCGATAGCCACAACGGAACTTCTACAGCCAGTTACACAAAATCTGAGAACATGAGAATAAAAAAAAAAACACAAATCGAATATTGTATAGATCATTTATTGTGTTACACAAATTTAAAATATGGCACTAGTATCAAACTCTGGGGTCATATCTGCCAACTTCCAGGTAGTGAATACACACATTACAAACAGATGCGTGCCATTGCAATGTACGACTGTGGATTTTAAATTACAGCTTACGTTTCTGTACTGATGAAAGCATATACAAAAAAACAAGCTCTTTAATTCCGCGATATAAAGTTTCCGTCAGTCTGATTAGGTCAGGAATGTTTTACCACGAAGATGGCACTTTTTATTGAAATACAGAGAATATGTTGAACACAAGCCATTCTACAGTGCCCACACTTTAACGTAGTCCACTTGGAGGGCTGAGTTGTCACCTGACCAGGTCGGTCTCCAATAATCTTTATCCAGCCAGAAATTGAGCATAGCCTGAGGAAAAACATGCAAATACATTGATTGAATATGTGATACAGACTTTTTGAAGTTTGACTTTTGCGCTCGTGGCACGTCGCCATTTGAAAATGAAGTGATGAAGAGAATACGTGCTTTTGAAAGAGATAAGTTAACAGAGAATTAAAATATTGCATAACTGAGACGACAAGTTTGTAATATTAATTTAGTACTTTATGGTAATTACATGAATGTACTTCGCATGAACCAATAGCCAGAGGCGTATGTTCGGACAGTTACAAAGTGTTGGTTAGGAAAATATAATCGGTGATTGAGATGCACTACAGGTGGGAAAAATCAATTAAAAGCAGGAAATGATAAGAGAAGTAAAGAGTTGAAAAAATAAATAAGCGAGGAGAGTGTTGTGACCCGACGTACCTTGGGATTGCTGTTTTTCCACGGCTTTGGACGTAGGCCGTCTTGCTGCAGACCGTTCGTGCAATTGTCAGGAAAGTCGCGGATTCCACCGGCTCCGACTCCGAGACTCAAGTAGAACTGACGCACAAAATAGACGAACCTCAAATTTATTTACGGCGATATCTCACAGTCTGTGTAGAGTATCTGACACAGCGTATTCTACAGAAGATTGTTTATGCAAAATTAAGTGTTCGAGGAACGTTAAGTATCCCTGTTAATCTTATCGAGATATTAAGATAGCACGGAAAACTGTAATTTTCAACTGGTATCTTCCCTTCAGATTTCCCAACCAAAATTATGTACGCATTTCTCATCACCGCCATGCGTGCTACTTGCAATCTTATCATCGTTGATTTAATCATATGGCGAAAAATACAAATTATGGATCTGTTCATTATGCAATTTTCTCCAGTAACTTCTACCCTCTTACGATAAAATATTCTCTTCAGTACCCTGTTCTCAGAATTCTTTAATATTCTACTCCCCTTTATGTAAACGACCAAGTTTGACACCCATACAAAACGGGAAAAACTGTTCCTAAATAATAACAGTGGTTATCGGGACAGCTGTTTACTTTACCTCTCTGTCAAATGGTGCCAATTTTGAACCCCGTCCCCAGGGATTATCTTGGCTTCCGGCGAAGGCGGATAAATATCTGTATCCCCCTGGAGGAGGAACTAAGACACCGACTGTCTGTCCATCAACTTTGAACGTCATATCACCTACAACACACAGTAAGCAAATTAATACTGCATTTACCTGCGCACTGTGAAAGGGGCGGTGCTTAGAATTACGCCCGTTTGGAACCCTAGAAGCTAAATGGCTGCCCCGACTGAGGATCCTCGTAGTTGCTCTCAGTGTCTCATGCGAAAATGACGATATCATTTTCAAAAGTGTTTGAAAGTTTAGTTCCACATTACTGCCTTTCATGAAATCAAAATTTTATTAAAGCGCTATTAAAATATTATTATTGTCAAAACATTGCTTACCTGCAAAATTCGTTTCACATCATAAACAATTTGCTACCTGACTCTTTTATAGCTCGCATTCCATCAGTACCTGGTGTCCAGGTGAGGCTGTAGACATGGAAGTTTTCACACCAGCCAAATCCGCCCTCCCAGCTCTTCGCCTCGCTGTGAACCGTCTGGTCCAGACCCAAGAAGCATCCAGCTTCCAGGCGGCGTTCCCCGATGTGACTCTGCTTCTGGTCATTTAAGAAAAGCTCCCTGTTTCCCCTCGCCATGGCGATCCGTATTCTTCCTGATAGGTAATCCCTCCCATACCAATTTTCTTTCGGTTCCAGCCACAATTCTGATTCAGGAAACTCGTTGTTAGTACACTTTCTTTAATAGTCGATAAGTGTGCCTTATTATTCCTATGTTATAAGAATAAAACTAAATTATAAGATTAGTTTCATTTATCATACTAGTAAGTTTGAATCTAGTCGAGGCCTGTGACTTTGGCACGTTCAAGTCATTTTCCGTACCTGGGAATAACCAGTCGCCTGCTGGAAGCCTTGCCCTGACTTCCACGTGGCCGTAACAGAAACTGAAATGTTGACGTGTCCAAAGACGAGCGGAGAAAATTGGTGGAACGATGTCCCATCCCTGCGCCTGCTTCGAGCACTCCTCAGAGCCCGCGACGCCTGTACACCTGAGACGTCAATCAAAAACAATCAATGTTTCTTGTGTGGCCCTCGTTTCAATCATCCACGCGTTAAAACCTTTTCTTCTTGTGGTCACGAATTTAGGGCTATAAAAGACCTGTTGCCTGATACGTGGAGGGAAAAATTCTGTCATCCTGAACCAAATGAACAAATACACAACCTCCCTTTATTATACTTTGAGTTTCGCGTTCACGTACCCAGGCAGCTCGAGTTTTCCTTGTGTGACGAAATCCGCGCCGCGAACTTCCGAAACCAGAGTTGGAGAGACGTACAGGATTCCGTCACTTACATAACTGTTGCCCTTCTCGGAAGTGTAGGCGACAAATTCAAAATCCTGAAAACATTTATTACCAACTCATTACACTGCGAAATCTGGTCGGTCATTATGCGTGACGAACGCCGACTAAGTATAATATTTAGACTTAACAGAGAGAACGCAGCAGAATAATTGATAAAATTACACACCAAGAAGCTCCATAAGCTGTTCTAGTCACCTAATATAATTTAAGCCGTAGAAATCTTACCCACAGATACTGATACTTAAAGACATATTGAAACTATTACAAATGTTCAATAAGACTGTCTTCCGAGATGTTTCACCGTGTAGTCTGGTAGAATTACACTGACGTTCCACAACCTCAGAAACGTCTGTATAATCCTAGCAGACTACACGGCGCAACGTCTCAGTCGTCTTCATACTCGCTGCCGTGAGGAACCGAAATCTCGCATTACATCGACTCTCCCGCCCGTTATCCCAGGGGTTCTCAACGTTTTACAGTCCACACTCACCGCGTCCTATCGTCTCGCGAACCGCAAGTTTACAAATTACTTCAATTTGTTGAAACGCAATCACAGTTATTTTATAATATATAATAAATGTACATGGGCCACATGCTGCCCAGTGGCAGTATATTGCAAACCCCTGCGTTACTCCATCCACCCCACTCACCAATCCTATAATTGTAAACTGTCTCACTGCAGTGTCCAAATGTTTCGGTTTTGCTAAATTTGAAACTGTGATTTAGAACAGTGGTATTCAACATTTTTTGTTCGCGTACCCCCAGATATAATTTCTCTTCAATTTTGTACCCCCAAACTTGTTGGTGTATAATTCAAGTTATACATATTATATAATTACATCTAAAATAAATTAAATAAATTACATTACTGGTTAATCAGTGTTATCATAAAATAATATATATTTTTTTAAATTTCACGTACCCCCTAAGATGTCTTCGCGTACCCCAGGTTGAATACCACTGATTTAGAATACCAGATAAATATAAATTTCTCAGTTATTCCAACAGTCAGCAAGAATTATTTCAAGAACTACCATTTTAAAAGCGCTAGACATTTAAAAGACATGTTTCTAGTTGCATGTGACACACGCAGATTCCTACGTCGAATCACTTCGTCATATTCTTGCAACGTACGTACCGGACTGCCGGCTATTCGAATGTCATGTTCCCATTTCGCCGAGTCCAGGGTTACGAAGTTCTCCTCGAAGATGAGCTGACCCTGGCATGCGGGCTTCCCGTTCACCAGAGTAGGCGACTTGTCGCATCTCGTGGGGGGTGGGGTGACGGGCGGTTTCGGGGTGCCCTTCGACGTATCTTCATCACCAGGATCCACTAATTCTGTGTTAACAAAAGACAGTTACTTCGTTCATCGTCTCAAACCACCTTAACGTGCGAGCATCTGGGAACAAAATTAAGAGGTCCAATATTAAATTAGAGACAAATCGGTTCTGGAACTGATTCACTTCCCAAAAAGCTGAAGATCGGCATACAAGAGACAACAATTCTTCAGTCTCTTTGCGTAATTGTGTCGCATCCTGTCTTACTTCGACAGGAAACACAAAATGCAAGTGAGGCCTTTGGGAATGAAGCATTGAGGAAAACATTCCATTCGAATCTTACTGCTATATTCATTATTAAGTCTTTGCCCGTTTCAGTCTAGAGTCGTAAAATATCGCATGGCGGCTGACACTTGACATTTACGCCTGGGAACCAGCCAAATGGAGATTGGGCTAAGAGGGCCCCAGAGTCGGTCTGTACGAGGTGGAAATCAAAATCCTCTGCCCCTTCCACCAAGCTGGCCATCCTGACTGACATTTCTGGTTTTCCTCAGTCTCTCTAGCCAATTCCTGGGATATTACCTTAAATTAGGCCACAAAAGTTTATTTCCATAAACTTTCCAGTTCATTAATTATTCGACACTGTATGTATGGTCTCACAACGTCGTTAAATAAGCCACAGATAAATAAAACATGCTGCATCCGGCAGTCACACCCCAGTTGTCTAACCCAGTGGTATTCAACCTTTTTTGTTCGCGTACCCCCAGATATAATTCCTCTTCAACTTTGTACCCCCAAATTTGTTGGTGTATAATTCAAGTTATACATAGTATATAATCTACATCTAAAATAAATTAAATAAATTACATTACTGATTATTCAGTGTTTATCATAAAATAATATATATATATTTTAAATTTTACGTACCCCCTAAGATGTCTTCGCGTACCCCAGGTTGAATACCACTGGTCTAACCCGTAGCCTAGTCACAAACAGGTCTGTTTTGAGTATTTATTTTTTATGTCAGAATTTAGAAATGACGTAAATCGAGAAGTGAAGTATTTTATACTTACCAGTAACCGTCCAGCTCTGGTCCAGCCTCTGGTACCCAACCCCTTCATATTGAACGTACAACCAATAGTTGATTACGTCGCCAATATTTAGTCTCAGTCGGTCATCTTGGAATATCCAGCGGCCGTTCTTCGATTTGGTTATATCTCGTGATAACTGACCAGCCGCTACGCCGTCCAGTTCCTTGTTCACGTTCGCATGGAAGGCGAACAGTTGTACGCCCGGCTCATCTGAAACACCAGAAAGATCAAATCTCTGTTCTCATTTGATGTATTGCGAACAATTAAGTTTTCTGCACGCCTCGTATATTTAAAATTTCTAAGATTCTGAAATTACCGACGGGCCCTCATATGTCCTGTTATCTGTCATCCAATTTGAACAGTGCCATTACAGTAGAATAATTCAATTCAATTCATTTATTTAAGTGCGTGACAACAGCCAAGCACTAAACCAGAGTACAGGATAAAATATAATAAGTAATTAATTTATTTCAATAATAATAAAAATAAAACAAACAAATGAAACTAAATATATAAATGTACCATATTAATTATAATAATAATTCGATTCATTTATTGAATAATATTTCACAAATAAATGGGCTGAATACGATACCTAAGTAATATAATTCAATTTAATAATTCTAAATAAAATAAATAATACTAAATAATAATAATAATAATAATAGTTCAATTCCTTTGCTGAGTGTTTGCCAACAGCAAAGAACCTATGACAGGCAAACACTAATACAAAGATAGAAATTTGATAAAAAGAAAATAATCTACCTAGGTATAGTATAAATGTAAAACACTAATAAAATACGAGGAACAAAATAAAAACAAAAATCAAATTAAAACAAATAACCAAGCTAGAACCAATCAAGGCCACTCTCTAAATCATTTCTCTTATTAAGAAAGTGCCCTCAAAAGAAACAATGCCTATACCAAACACGTCCAAAAATGTACGTACGTCATTTGCAGCAACAATAATAATAATAATAATAATAATAATAATAATAATAATCCGTGACTAATAAATGTTCACGTGGTGTGTGCCGTGCGTGCGTGCGTGCGTGTGTATATAGTTCAGAGTAATATGATGTTAATGGGTCGTTTTGCAACATTTTTCAAATTGATTCCACGATGAATAGTTCTTTCTGAGAAGCTGATATTTGGAAACTAAACGTAAACACGAAATTTCCACCTAAACATAAAGGATAACATCTAGGAATGTGACACATACACGGCGCAAACTGCGCGTCTGTGAAGAACACCGGGACTTCACCTCGCTCAGCAGATGCTGTTAGCCTTGAAACTAGTTCCTGCCGCAAGCGAAATGCACATACGACTTCATTTCTAAGAAATTTAACCGGTCATGAAAACGGAGATAGGAACGATTCTGTCCAATGTTACAGAATTCAGAGATTGAAAGACTACGTACGGCCTCTGAAAAATTTCAGTCCAGCCCCCGACAATGTCAGATATTACATTATTAATTATTATTAATTGTTATTCATCGCATATCATATTAAAGTGTTATAATTGCAAATAATAAATTACATTCTGTCGGTTTTCGCAATTTTTACCTTTCGGAATTCATAGCCGTAAAACATGAGTAGCTCAGTTAGTAATAAGTTACTAGAGTCTGGACGACCAGCGTTCGATTCCTGACATGAGAGAAAGACTTTTCTTTTAGGCTCCCCGTCCAGACCGCCTCCGGAGCTCAAACAGCATCCCATTGTGAGTACCGGTGGACATTTCCCCGGGCGTAAAGTCCCAGGGTTGTAAACAGCTGGCAACTCGCCTCGTTACAGTGTCGAGATCAAGAACTCGTGGAGCTGTACTTCGTATCTCCTTTACCCGTGTAAAATCGTGCATGATGAATGACGTGTATTTAACGATGAGTTGATCAAAGAAGCTCTCTGGACCGCGATCGTGCTAAAACATATCCAGACGCCTTTTAGAATAAAAATTATTGTTCACCCCTGGCACGCATTCCGAACTTTGGCATTGGACGGAGATGAGTTATTACCTTCAGATTCCGGCTGCTACGACCCTGAGGAAGGAGTCGCGTTTTATAACAGTGGTACTTATCGAACTGCCTGGTTTAAGTGCGTAGAAATGTGAGAGAAATGATACCCTGAATTTTGAGGCGGAATAAACCGAGAGATGAAGCTGGAAATATTATGAATTTTGTCGAATTTCATATTAGCAAATTCGCTGTTTACATTCAACTCTGCCAGTCCACACAACCGAGTTCTTAGAACAAACTGTACCTGCATTAATGTTATGTTCAACGGATATTTCTGAGTTGATTTGTATTACTATAATTCTGTAGCCACCATTGAACTACGGGATGTGAACGCCGTGGAAATTACTTTTACTTAGATCAGAAATAATCTGACAATTCTACCATTTTTTTTTACAGAGTTACGTATTTCGTAGTATCAACTCTTTCATCGCTGAAATCCAAAATGTTCTGTTTTTACCATTTTTTCGTTATTTCTTTCCATGATTCGAAATTTCTGGAAATTTTACATCTCTGGTTATATAGCTTCAGATTGCAGGTGTTTGAGAATCGGGTGTTGAGGAGGATATTGGGGCCTAAGAGGGAAGACGAGGGGGCGTGGAGAAAACTGCACAATGACGAGCTTAAAATTCTGTACTGCTCCCCCAGTATTGTGAGGGTGATTAAGTCGAGAAGAGTGAGATGGGCGGGACATGTAGCGCGCATGGATGGGACAAGAGGTGTGCACCGGGTACTGGTTGGGAAACCTGAAGGGAAGAGACCGCTGGGGAGACCTAGACGTAGATGGGAGGATAATCTCAGGCGGGATCTATGGGCGATAGGAGTTGAAGGAGACTGGATTTTGTTGGCCCAGGACAGGGTCCGGTGGAGGGCTTTGGTTAATTCGGTGATGAACCTTCGGGTTCGGTAAGCCATCTAGTTAGTTAGTTAGGTTATATAGCTTATCCGGTGACATAACTAAGCCCTGATACAGTGACATTGGTTTATTGTGACGCACTATACTAGCATTTTCTGGAGGGGATAGGGGAATCCTCGACAAACCGTAAGGTAGGCTTTTTCTGTCACTCAACCTCAACGTTCACTATACATAATACGTGCTTGAAGTAATACGTTCTGAAACATATCGTTGTTTTCGACGGAAGGATGAGGTTTGGCAGAGGATGATTATGTTTGTATTACGTAGTTAGTGTAATTTGCGTGTCGTGGCAGCAATGACCTTGTAGGACATGAGATTTGAATCCTTTTCTTTCCACTCACACTTCTCAAGCTTTTATAATCTGGATGTAATCACTGAATAGCTCAGAATACGTTCAAACAGTTTAACTTATAAGAATTAATTTAGATTAACAATTCAAAATATTTTAATATGTTTTGGTCGAAATAATTCTGACAGCGGAGGTCCGGGCCTAATGCCTATAGGTCAGCGTGCAAACTATATGGTATGTAGGTCTGAAGCGGTCCGCGATGTTCAGATGTCTGGCTTCTTAAAATAAATAATTACGATGATATTTGGCGGAAATCCATGTTATGGGGTCGACAATACTCTTATTATTTAATTTAATCTACAGATGGGTCAGAGTCCACTACAGATGCAGAAACTTGTCATAAAACGATTAAGGAAACAACTCACGATATCGTAACCGAATTAATTATTAAAAATTCCGTTCTTACATGTTTTATATCTTAACAATTTATTGATTTTTAACTGCAAAAATTTTCTGCTAAAGTGATCACTTCAGAAGTAAAAATTATTACCTAAAATTACTCTAGATAGAAATTCAATGCGCACTAAAGGTGCGCAGTGGATTATATATTTCGAATTATGAAGCTACGACATGTCAGCTGTCAACTATACACTTTTGGATAACAGTAAGTGCATGCTTATCGCCAGTAGCCTATTAATGGATATATTTGGAAAGTATTTAAAAAAAAAACTAACAGTTGGAACAAAAATAAATTAAGGTAGAGATTTATTTCTCATACCTGGTATAGAAACACGGAGACCCTTGGGCTTCAGAGCCTCAAATTTGGCATCAGGTACGATGTAATCGGCTTTGGCAGATGTAGCAGGGAAGCTGGCAGCCAGAAAAACACATACACTAACGAGCATCTTGCCCTGTGTGGGACACTACGGTGACTGGGTTACTCGAGTACAGCGGTGATCAAGGATACCGTGACCACAACATGTTTCCCGTCTCGTGAATTCACCACGATTTCCCCTCCCCGTCTCTGCTTCCAGTCTTCATGAACTCTGCAAATTAAGCGAAGCTGGTGAAGGATGAACAATTTCACTTCTTAAGTTGTTTTATTACTTTACTGTTATAAGTGGATAAATAAAAAAAATATTTTTCTCTTTGTTTCGGGATTAAGAGTAAAAAATTGGCGACAATGGATTTATTTATATGCTTCACACCAGTCACAGCTAGTTACAGCCAACCACTAAAAATAACAAACTCAACCAAACAAGATTTTCCAAAAAATAAGTACTCTTTTCAAAATACAGACCACGTAAGGCAGGGGTCGTTAACATTTTCATCACCGCGTTCCGCCAATGGGCTATTCATACGTTCGTTGAAAGGCACAGAAAAAATAATGCATTTCTTTATCTTAAAAGTAAGAACTTGGAAAGATTAAAGCAATGAAATTATAATGTTATCCTTGCACTTGTACGCTATTAATTTGATGTTTTCAAACAAATATAACACATTACCGAAACTTGCAAATGGCTTATATTAAATTTGTAGTCGTGTTCGTAAGATGGCGTGGTGCTACGTGTCTTTATCGATATTACAGGAATTCAATACATCTACGACGTGCAATCTTTGAATTCGTGCGCTATCTACCGGAATTATCATAGAATCGTTTCATAACGCATATGGTTGCAACGTTTACCTTCGAAAATTCTTGCAATGCACTGATTTAATTTCTGCTGTCTCTGTGATGGCACGTAATCAAAGTTATCTATTACTGTGTAATCAACTAGCATCATTCATGACAACTAAAAATATAATTTTCTGTGTTAAGTGTGCATAGACCTGTCTTTCACTTGTTGGATTTTTTGCGATTTTTGTTTATTAATTATTTTTAATGTTTTATTTTCTGCTCTACTAAACACTGTGTAATTTATTGTTTGATATTATGTGTAACATTTAAAGCTCCTGGTATCATCTCTGTAATAGGTACACTGTTCTTACATTTGGTAATCCGTTAATATCATACCGTTGGTAGCCCTGAAGTACTCGGAGTCTTTGTTAATATGTGGATATGTAGCCATCAGCTGTTTATGTGTTCATGGACTCTCTGGAAAGTGAATTGCGTTAGTATGGTAGGCAATACGTAAATAAGGTGTTTTAAATGATGTTTTCTATCCAGAGTGGGCAGAAAGTTTTGGTTGTATGGGGTGCGGCTCCTCAAAAAAAATTGCAACAACTGACCGGTTCGTTAGGAAAGGTCTGTGTTGAAAATGTTGACAGACTAACAATGGGTATGTATTAATTGCATAATGAACGTGTTACAGTTATATGACTCGCCTCTTTTATGTATATAATACTTAAGGAATTATGTTTTAAGAGGTTAGGAAATGGTGCGTTTGCAGGCTCAAGCCATATTTGAAAAATGTATTTATGCGAGTATTTATTTTCCAGGATCTCATCCAACTTCATCTTTTGATGTAGTGTTATCTGGAGTGATTTTCCCCCAGTCAATAAGTCACACCACAGAATTGCTTGGAGAGTTTTTAAGATTGGTGAAACAAGGGGGAAGAATTATCTTGCAAGAAGCAACAGTACGAAACACAAATGGAACACACCTGAGAACAGTAGAAAAATTACAATCTGATTTAAAAATTACTGGTTTGATAAATATACAAGAAGCCAAACGTGTTTCACTGACAGATGTGGAGATGCAAACACTAAAGGATTTACTTAACATAGCTATAAATGTTAATGTTGTCGAAATTCAGTGCCAAAAGCCAAATTTTGAGGTAATGTCATAATTTTAGTAACAAGAAACCTGTGTATATTTGTGTCATGAATTGTAATGTTTTTCAAGATAATTTGGAATTTCAAGATGTTGCTGTGTATACAAGAACCTGCCACAACTAATTTCAATCCAGTTTAATGAAGTAACACAAAGTTTACATGCTAATATATATATATCTATATCTATCTATCAGGTACCAATCGATAGAGCTAATCCTTATCTCCGGACCAAGAGTAACAGTGATGAATTACTGGTCTTGTGAGGAAATTATTGAACAGTTTCATACTTGTCTCTTGCTCAAAGATGACTCATCTGTAGTGTGTATTTAGTGTCTGAAAATTGTCATTGTTAGGTGTAATGTATGTGTGAATCGCAATTGTGTAAAAGAAAAACCCATTAGACTTTATAAACATCACATATAAAGTATTTATGCTTCACAGGTGGGTTCATCATCAAAGTTATTATTTACTGAACAGAAACGTCAAGTAAAACCTTCAGCCAACATAGCTGCTGTATGGAAACTGGATGACACTATAGATGATGATATAGAGACAATTGATGAAAATAATTTATTGGATGAAGAAGATATCAAAAAGCCAGACCCAGCTTCTCTCAGAGGTTAGTTTGTAGTTAAAACTTGAGTTACTAATGAAGAAACTTGTTGTTTTTCATATCAGATGACATTTTATAGTACAGGTAGTTGACCCTACATTTAACCCTTAACATGGAGAACCATCCCTTGTTGATTGTCTTTGACTAGTTAACCCTACATCCAACCCTCAAGGCGGAGAACACCCCTTGTCAGCTATCCATGGTTGTTTATTCAGCATTTTAATATCTTACATCAGTGGTCCCCAACCTTTTTGTGCCTACGGGCACATTTGAGAGTTTATGAGATCGTAGCGGGCACCAACCAATTAACAAAGCCACATTTTCTTTTCTCTGGACAAATAAGATATGGACACCAAATAATACACAAAACAACACGACGTTTAATGATACAAGAAACCATGCAATCAAAAATACGTAGTTTTATAAGTACAATTATTATTACTCAAGTGGGAAGTTAGTGTGATGTTTGGCGCTGCATTTCATCAGTCAGTTTTTCAATTTGGGAGTGTAGGATAATGTTGCTGCTCGCAAACAGTCGTCAGTAAGTCGAGATCTGCGCTTTGATTTTATAATGTTCATGGTTGAATGGCCTTCATTATTCAGTATAACCTCCTTCCGTATCAACGCGGGCACCCAAAAAAAGCCTTGGCGGGCGCTATGGTGCCCGCGGTCACCGCGTTGGAGACCACTGCCTTACATGATGAGAAACTTTGTGATTTTAAGTGTTTCATGGTATTTGGTTAATATCTGTGGCAGTCTGAGTTTGGTGGGGGAGACGAATGCATACAGAATTTTGTTGTTTAAACATCTTAAAAGCCCTCTTATCTGGAAGACTAAGAATGAGTGAATGAAACTTGATCTCTTATTCTAGGGAATGAACACAGGTTGCTGGTGTTTTAGATGAGGAATAATTGGACCTACGAAATGACAAGAGGGTGCAAAACTGCATAATTAGAAACTTAATATTGTGTACCCTACTCTATGCATTATTAGAGTTAACAAAATAAAGATGATGAGATGGGCGGTACAAGTAACATGCAGAGATAAGATGAGAAATTCATGAAACATCTTATTTGGGAAACTTCTAGGAATGAAACCACTTGGGAGATAGACATAGATAGATGTCTCAGTGTTGGGCTGCAGTGTGCCTTTTGGTTCCGTAAAAGTCGGGGAATTTCATGACCAATTATGTGATTGATAGTTTCTCAAGGAGGACTCTGCTCAGTAGAGTTTTTTAGAATACAGAAGTTAGCAATTATTTTCTTTTTTTAAAGTATGCGGGACGACAGGCAAAAGGAGAGCTTGCAAAAACTGTTCCTGTGGCCTTGCGGAGGAATTGTCTGCCGAAGGGAAAGCAGTAGCTGTACAGCCAACACAGACTAAAACTTCAGCGTGTGGCAATGTAATGTCAGCTATGATGAGTATAACACATTCACTGGGAAATTACCAGTACCAGAGATTTCACTTTCCTCATGTTTAGTTGTAGCTTGTGCCTAAACAGAAATTTTGATGCTTGTCACCTCAAGTTGTTAGGTGAAATGTATCTTGGTACGTACATCACTGTGATATGTGAGATTCGTTTCCAGTGGTTTAAATATCTCTAACGTTAACTTAATTGCTGTTTATGGAAAGATTCAAAGGATAATTGTCAGGTGATGATGATGCACATTTTGTGTGGTCAGTGACTGCACTTTGTACTTCTCTTTGGTGGAGGAGAGGGAAAATCATCAGATTTCTGATTTTCATGGCAGTGAATATTTTGACGTTAGTGTCCTGAGTTGTGGACTGATAGATAGATTCCAACATTTCAGAGGAGACAAGGAGTATGTTTCATTGAAACATTGGTATCATGGCCTGTTCTGGTTACAAGGATTGAATTGTGGTTTATGATCAGGCATTGTGTATCCTGTAGCCATTCTTAGGAAACACTTTTGCCATATCCATATCCCCATTTCTTTTTTTATTAACATTAATTTAGGTATGGTTTTGTATGGGTCCAAATGAAATAATCAATTTCATTTTAGTAGTCTTAATCTTTTCATGTATGTAACAATGTAAATGTGTAATTTGTTAAGATACTTTGTTATTTCAGAGTCCTGAGGCTTGATTTAAACAGCAAAGTGTGTTGAACAAACAAGTGTTTATAGAGACAATGTCTTCTGAAACCCAATTTGTCTTTCTAGTGCTACTTGGGAGATGCTTTCCGCTGCGCAAGTTGCCCGTACCTTGGCATGCCTGCATTTAAACCAGGAGAGAAAATTCAACTAAGTGATCAGCAACTGAAAGCAGACGTTTAGGATTAGAAATAAAATGCTAGTGTTGTCTATTCATAAATGTTTAAAATTGACTAACCATTTGGGTCCCTGTGAAATGTGTTTTGTAATAAACCTATTGCAAAAAGAGTTTGAAACAGTTAATATAAGATGATTTAAAAGTTTTCAGGAGATGCAAGGAACTGTCTCTCACAGAGTACAATGTGTGTCTTAATACATTTTGTATGTCATTAAAGCTGTTTTAGAGTTACATCAGTACTGTTTAAGTGATATTAATTTAGATGGTGGATTTGGGCTCATCTCTTGATGAATTATATGAGTGGCCTGTACTTAAACATTAATAATGGCAAATAACTTTATTATAGTTATACAAAAATTTATTAATTTTTAACGCACATTTATATGAAAACACTGTATACGATGTACAGGAAAATATTGATGTTTTAATATAAATAGAAGGCCTAGAAGACATGTTGTCAGTTCTTATTAATGCCACAAACTGTTTTTTTTTCTGAATAGATCCACCTTCTCAAACAGTACATGCTCATGCCAAAAATGTATGCTGGCTTAGACAGTGATGTTGAGCCCTTCTGCTAACTGATTCAGTTATCTTTATTTGGTGTCTGTATAAATATTGAACAGCAGAACAGTATTTATGTGAATTTTCATTTTATTGGCCATTAATACCACTCATGTCTAATACCCACATTCTCATATGATCAGATGTTGGAGCAGATTCAAAAGTTTAATATTAAAAAGTAAATTTGCATTGGGAACAGGTAATTTGAAATGTGGTCAGGTTTACCACAAAATGAGTCTTCTACTGATTGCAGTCTTGACATTTACAAAATCATGTTTCTGGTCTTACGTTGACTGGCTCTGTCATATTTGAAACTGATTAGCCGATTAGCGAATATATATTATGCAGACTACCAGTAAGTTAGCTGTGAGCGGAATTAGGTTGGCTCCGCTCATCTTTGTATTTTAGTCTCTGGTTGAAGTTTTTCTGGTGCGTAGGTCATCCATGTACGCGTCATATAACCAATGACATAACGGATTACCAACCTAGGCAGAAGCAATAGTAGGACATATACTGTATGACTGTTATTTTAAAACAAATAGAAAAGTTGTAAAATTTATGTAAATGTTTAGCTGTAATTAAAAATAAGTTTCTAGTTTACACGAAACAGTTGGAGGTACTTATTGAAAAAGACGTAATTAATATTTGAATCATCAATGTTAGACGTAATTTGTCTCCCTCTAGAATGCGTAGACCAATAACATTTCAACACGCTTAGATGCTGCCACGTTTATATCAGAGCATTGTCGTTTCCGCGGTGCGAGTGTAAGGTTAAAATTAGTGGCTGTGGTGAAGGTCTGATCATGATGTTTATTAAAGTGTGCTTTCTTGTAGCCGTTTCAAGTATTGGGTTTTGTGATGAAATTAAAAGTGATGAAGGTGTACTTGTTTTTACAAAAGATAATTTCAAAACGGGTATAACGGATAACGAATTCGTGCTCGTTGAATTTTGTAAGTACTAGGACATACGATCATATTAATTTTGCACCACTTATTTTCATTCACGTAATGTCCCAATTTGTGTTCATAAAATTTACAGTAGAGTTGGGCCGAAGTCTTACCACAGTATATTTACAACATATTGCACATGTGTCCATGCATAAGCGTAGGTGTAGTGAATAGATGTTTCAGGTACGAGAACCGAAGATAATTAATATTTATAATTTATTACATGGGCTTAAAACAGTTATAGCGAAATATAACGGAAAAGACTTATACCTGATTATACAAATTGTCTTGTGATGGTTAATGACCTTTGTGTTGTACGAAGAATTGTGTGTGGGGGTGGGGGTAAGGTGTAATTGGAATAGATTATGCTATGTGGTCCTTAATTCTGACAGATTGAGATAATATATGAGGGTAAATTATATTTTGTGGAATTGAAGCAAATCAGGAAAAATCCTGTTCTGTTAGACCTATTGTTCAAGTCATTATAGTTACATATCCTGAATTTAAGTGTGACTTATCTCTGGCTTGGTTCTAGGGGTGTTATGCTCCTCAGTTGGTTTCGTAGTGTAATAGCAGGTTTTTCATTCGTAGTCGCAATAACCTTTCCTTTTATTCTAGCTTGGAAGGCTCCGACTAGCAAAGACATTGCAATATAAAATGTGAACCAAATGGTTTGATATAGTTGTAGAAATAGAAACAAATCCAATTTTTTCCATTTTCCCTTTGTCAAACTATGAAATAAAAATTATAAATCGGTACAGAAATATGGAATATGCTAAAAGGCTACCATCTGCCCTAATAGTGTCCCATGTTTCTTGTTTTGCGTGGTATGAAAGTTGGTATCTCATGTTCAGGAAAGAATACAGATTGAAGGTGTTTGAGAACAGGGTGCTGAGGAGAATACTTGGACCTAAGAGGGATGAAGTGACAGGAGGCTGGAGACAAATGTGTAATTAGAAATTCCATAATTTGTACTCTTCACCAAATATTATTTGGATCTTATCAATGAGAATGAGATGGGTGTGAAAGGAATGCACATTCAGGGTTATGAATGTATACAAAATATTGATTGGAAAACCTGGAGGGAACTAAACACTTGAAAGACCTAGGCATAGTTGGGATTATAATATTGAAGTGGATCTTAGGAAAAGAAGGTGGTTGATTGTGTATTGTGTTGATAGGGACCAGTGGTGGACTCTTTTGAATGTGATAATAGACTTTCAGGTTCCGTAAAAGCCTGGAAATTTCTTGACTAGCTCAGTTCACTGTGAACTTCTTAAGAAGTGCATGTTTATATATCCAAATGTTAGCAATATCAACATCTAATGAATATTTTGTAACATAATTGCAAGATGGATTAGAACTTCTTGGACATATAAATAAGGTCAGTTAAGTAAGGAAATCCTGTTGTCATAATATCCAAAATATGTGTACTTTGGAGTTGAAGATGCCAAATTAACTGAAGGTAAGGTTCAGTGGTTGTGGCAAATTGAGTTGTTTCTTATGTACATTTCACTACTTATGTGTTCATTAGAATAGGTTTTCAAAATGTGTTACAGATGCACCATGGTGTGGCCATTGCAAATCTCTGGCTCCTGAATATATAAAGGCAGCAAAGAAATTAGCTGACCAGGAGTCTGCAATCAGACTAGCGAAAGTAGATGCAACCGAAGAAACTGAACTTGCAGAAGAGCATGGTGTGAAGGGCTATCCTACAATCAAGTTCTTCCGCAGTGGATCTCCGATTGAATATTCTGGTATGCTTATGTTGTCTGCTTGAAAAATTATATATTTACCTAATTTATCATTTTGATAAAAATTAATTTTTGTATTTCCTCTATTTTGCCCAAAAATTTTCACACCATGAACTTAACATGGCATTGAGTTGGAATGAGAATGAAGAAACTTTGATATGTGAACAGTTTCACCTTAAATAAATTACTTTAATGGTTGGTAAGTAAATGTGTAACTAAGGATTTTGTATTCATGAGGCATATATAATTAATTGTCAGTAGATTTTATATAAGTTAACTGTAGATTGACATTGCTTTTGTTATACTAAAAGTGTTATGTGCTGGTGAAGTATTATATTTGAAGATTTGGAACAATTTAATTACAGGTGGCCGAACAGCTGATGAAATTGTGAATTGGCTGTTGAAAAAAACTGGCCCTGTTGCAAAAGAGCTGATTTCTGTTGATGATGTTAAAGGATTTATTGATGCAAGCAATGTTGCAATCATTGGCTTCTTTAAGGTAATTTGGTATTGTAAACATTTTCTCTGCAAGAATAAACTTACGATAATCTTGAAGCCTTGCATCAAGAGGTCATCATCAGTGGCAAACAAATTAATTCGTATTAAATCATACATCTCATAAGACGATGGTTTGTTATAATGCATAAAAGGTTGCACTTTACAGTACCATACGTCACTGGATGATAATTGCACAAGAGTTGATGTATTATCTAAAGTGAGTTACTTAGCTTTATGTCCACTGGCCTGATTTCTGTTGTTGGTCTGCGGTGAGCTGTGGTTGCATTGCCTGTGCCTGTGCCTGTGGACTTCAAATTTGTGTGGGTATTACTGTCATGTTCTGACCAACCTGTGTGGCCATCTATTGCAAACAAAATTTTACTTTGTTGCTGTTTATTGCCAGGTCAAATAACATTGGAGTCTTGGGTGTTCTGCTCATTTATGATGTTTTGCTTTTTGCTAATTTTATAGATGTGGAATGTTCCTAAAATGTCGAGAATTTTGCCTTTTGAGGCTATTTTTAATACATCTGTGATATATTCTATAGGATTGTATTCGTGTTTGTTTTCAAGGATGTGTTGAGCATATTTTGATTTTGTTACGTTGAATCTAATGTCGTGGACTTTGCTCTTTAAATCTGGTTTTAAATTTCCTACCGGTTTGGCCAATATAGATCTGCTCTAAGCTACCGCATTTTAACTGATATACACCACTTTTATTGTATTTATTATCTTGTCTTCTTAAATTACATCGGTACTTTACGGTATTATTGACCTTATAGGCTACTTTAACATTTATGTTTTTGAATGGTTTGGTTAGTGTTATTGTGTCCTATTTTGTGGATAAGCTCAGCCTCTTTCTCAAACTCTTCTTTGGCAATTGGTATTTTGTACAATCTGTTTACAAGGAAATTAGAATTAGGATGGTTTGTTGTTTTACGTATTACTATGTCTGAGAATGTAGATTTCCTGTAGGTGCCTAATTCGAATTCTTTAGTGTCTTATGAATTGTATGATTTAATATGAATGAATTTGTTTGCCACTGATGATGACCTCTTGAGGTCGAAACACATTTGGCACTAAGTGACTTTTCAAGTGTGAACAGTTTTGTTTGAATGCATGATTTTATATAAACTTATGAAAATATGCTTTTGATATTCCTGTAAGATGCGATAGAATAAAAATTATCTTTTTCATCAATCTGTGCTTGAGCAGCGATCAGAGAGGACTCTAGATGAATGATTGATAAAGTTGTCAGTGTTTCATGCCCCTTTGATATTAAATCATACATCTCATAAGACGATGGTTTGTTATAATGCATAAAAGGTTGCACTTTACAGTACCATACGTCACTGGATGATAATTGCACAAGAGTTGATGTATTATCTAAAGTGAGTTACTTAGCTTTATGTCCACTGGCCTGATTTCTGTTGTTGGTCTGCGGTGAGCTGTGGTTGCATTGCCTGTGCCTGTGCCTGTGGACTTCAAATTTGTGTGGGTATTACTGTCATGTTCTGACCAACCTGTGTGGCCATCTATTGCAAACAAAATTTTACTTTGTTGCTGTTTATTGCCAGGTCAAATAACATTGGAGTCTTGGGTGTTCTGCTCATTTATGATGTTTTGCTTTTTGCTAATTTTATAGATGTGGAATGTTCCTAAAATGTCGAGAATTTTGCCTTTTGAGGCTATTTTTAATACATCTGTGATATATTCTATAGGATTGTATTCGTGTTTGTTTTCAAGGATGTGTTGAGCATATTTTGATTTTGTTACGTTGAATCTAATGTCGTGGACTTTGCTCTTTAAATCTGGTTTTAAATTTCCTACCGGTTTGGCCAATATAGATCTGCTCTAAGCTACCGCATTTTAACTGATATACACCACTTTTATTGTATTTATTATCTTGTCTTCTTAAATTACATCGGTACTTTACGGTATTATTGACCTTATAGGCTACTTTAACATTTATGTTTTTGAATGGTTTGGTTAGTGTTATTGTGTCCTATTTTGTGGATAAGCTCAGCCTCTTTCTCAAACTCTTCTTTGGCAATTGGTATTTTGTACAATCTGTTTACAAGGAAATTAGAATTAGGATGGTTTGTTGTTTTACGTATTACTATGTCTGAGAATGTAGATTTCCTGTAGGTGCCTAATTCGAATTCTTTAGTGTCTTATGAATTGTATGATTTAATATGAATGAATTTGTTTGCCACTGATGATGACCTCTTGAGGTCGAAACACATTTGGCACTAAGTGACTTTTCAAGTGTGAACAGTTTTGTTTGAATGCATGATTTTATATAAACTTATGAAAATATGCTTTTGATATTCCTGTAAGATGCGATAGAATAAAAATTATCTTTTTCATCAATCTGTGCTTGAGCAGCGATCAGAGAGGACTCTAGATGAATGATTGATAAAGTTGTCAGTGTTTCATGCCCCTTTGAATTATTACCTAAATATTGTGTGTTTACACCTTTTTATTTGAAGTCTCATAGATTGGTATAAAGAATGATCACTCATTAGTGGGTATGTGATTGACAGTGTCACTGTCCTGGGTCAATGTAGTTGAAATATGATTCTGCATTTTTGATCCACAATTTAGTTTGTGGATAGTTATATACTGTAATGTGGCGCCATTTCTAAAATCATTGCTGTTGCTGGGATACACGTTAACAAATGAAGATGACAGAAGAGCTTGAGAGGGAACAACAGCTGCAGTGACTGACAGACAGACAGACCTCACTGCTGTATGCTACTGGGATGTAACAACGTAAATAGAAATGTCTCAGTAATTGTAAATGTTTCAAGTTTTGTATTTGTAAAGAACCACCTCCACTAGTCTGGTTCATTGTTTTCTCAGGTACTTTTTAACTTTTTTTTGGCTATTTAGAAAGTGGTTCATGACTATTCACTGTGCAAGGGATTTGTTACATTGTTTCAGGATACATCTTCATCAGCTGCAAAGAACTTTCTTGCTGCAGCTAATACAATTGATGACCATCCATTTGGCATCACATCAACTGATGCTGTCTTTAGCGAGTATAATATTGATGGTGAGACAGTTGTCCTCTTTAAAAAGGTAATGTAAATCTAAAATATACAAATAAGGTAGTGTAAATCTGAAATGTACAAGGGAAAGTAAAAAAAAAGGGAGGGCAATTTTAGTTTGCCTCAAGTGATGGTGGATTAGAAAGGATGCGGAAGGAAGCAGTCGCTGCATAATTTAAGGTATATCACGGCATTTTCTTGGAGGGACTGAAGAAAACTAAGAAATATCAGTCAGGTAGCCAGTCTCTGGGCTGACATTTGAACCTGTGACTACCTGAAGCAGGTGTGCTAACCATTTGGCTGTGATATTAGGTAGGTAGTTTTTGGATGTGCATATCTATAAATTATGGTGTATTT